CCCCCCCTGCGGTATACATAATGAACGCAGCCTAATTAAACAATAGAAAACAATAGGATTAGCACAATTTAGTGGTATTTATGTTACACACTTATAGTGTCTGTACTCTATTGATTCTACATAAAGAGAATAGTTGAATGGTAAAACTTTCATATTATTTGAGTGATGCATTTCAAAGATATCAAGGCTTATGCATCCAATATGTTGATGATTGTGATGTCATTATAGGCATTATTAAATGTACAGGGACGGCGGAGCAGTTTTTTGATTGGGAGGGGGGCTAAGCTATAGCCTGATAGCTAAGCTATTGATAGCCTGATAGCTAAGCTATTGATAGCCTGATAGCTAAGCTATCGATAGCCTGATAGATAGCTAAGCTATTGATAGCCAAGAAACTAATCTATCGATATCCTGATAGCTAAGCTATTGATAGCCTGATAGCAGGAGGAGAGGAGGTAATCTTACATCGACCTCTTATCGAGGTCTCATCGACTCTCAATCATAGAAAAAATAAGCAAATATAAAATTATTATAAAATCATTTATTAATTTTGGTATTTCAAATGGTCTTGGCCATAGGCTGCCTGTGTTTTTTCAATAACTAAATCGGATATGGGCTTCCTGTAGATTTGTGCATTCATAAAATTGTTTTGATGCCGTGCCTTATTTATCTCGTGACCAATGATTGAAGGAAAGAGATATGACAGCATTAATAAGCTTGAATGCCAAGGGAACTCCGAATCATTGTACTATGGTCCAGTATGAAAGAGAACGATCGCTGTTTATATAATAAAGAACAAGATAACAGAACTAATCATTTTCAGCTGATTTTTGCATAATTAGGAAGAACTTAGTAGGTCTTATTGTTTATCGTTTATGAGTCATTAAGTGCATTGTGTTTGGATACAAAAGTCAGCAAATACTCGAAGTATTTCTTGAGTTTGATAAGTTTGGAAGATTTACGCTTGGATGATTGCTGAACTTTGGTGTTTGCTTTTAAAAGAATTATGGAAGGATGTTATCATGAATTTGCTCAACGCATAATATTGTTTCAAAAAAACATTTATTTTCATTAGTCCTTTGAATACATTGACGGTAGCGTGATATCCTCGAGAGCCTAACTGGAATAACGTAGCCATTGCGTTTCTCAAAAGTAAATTTTTAGGTCTTGCTTGCTTGCTTGGTTGGTTGAGTTTTGGAGTTAAAAATTCAAAATCCCCGCGCTCTATAAATTGGATTGGTAAACAAAAGACYTGTCCAAACTTGCCTAGCAATAAACTCATGACGTCAATTGGTCGTCATGGCAACCTCACAAAACCTACCCGTCATTTTATGGTAATAAGTAATAAAAATAATTAAATCCACCGCATATGATACACGTAATGCGTGACGTATTAGAACATAATTAAATCCTCCGCAAATATACTCGAATCCTCCGCAAAATTAGTAAATCCTCCGCGAAAACCGGGGTCGTGCCATGCGGCCTATACTACTGTCGAGTTCTACATTTGTTTAGTTCTACATTTATTTAGTTCTACATTTATTTAGTTCTACATTTATTTAGTTCTACATTTATTTAGTTCCGTACATTTATTCAGTTCCGTACATTTATTTAGTTCTACATTTATTTAGTTCCGTACATTTATTCAGTTCCGTACATTTATTTAGTTCTACATTTGTTGAGTTCTACATTTGTTTAGTTCTACATTTGTTTAGTTCTACATTTGTTTAGTTCTACATTTATTTAGTTCCGTACATTTATTTAGTTCTACAATTATTTAGGCCCCGTCCACACGTATCCGGAATTTTTTGTATCCGCAAATTTTGTTTTTGCGGATACGAAAATGTTTGCGACCACACGCAGCGTATTCGAATCGTTTTCACCGTCCACATAAATACGGATTGCGGATACGGACACAAAAAAATGGGGAAAAGTGTGGACGCAACCCGTATCCGTAAAACAAAATTGCGGATACAAACGTTTGCGGATACGTGTGGACGGGGTCTTAGAGAGACCACAGTAAATCCGTGAAACACTAATTACTAAATAGTACAAAATAGTGTTGGTTAAACAATGGAAAACAATGACATTTGCATAAAAATGTGCTATTTATTAGTGTTACTAAAGTTTCACGGATTTACTGTGGTCACTCTATTTAGTTCCATACATTTATCTAATAGCTCCATACATTTATCTAATAGTACCATACATTTATTTAATAGATCCACACATCATCTCGATTTTCACATCCCCATAATCCTTTGCGTCTTTGGGGGGTAACCAGTGGGTAAAAACCCACTTATTTTGCTGAAGGCTGATCAGACAATGTTGACAATACCTTGTTTGGTATCCAAAGATAAAATGAAGAAGTAAAAAAACAGAAAAAGATAGAAGCTTATTTAGTGCCATGCACTTATTTAGTTATACATTTACCTAGTGCCATGCACTTATTTAGTGCCATACATTTATTTAGTGCCATACATGTATTTAGTGCCATACATTTATTTAGTGCCATACATGTATTTAGTGCCATACATCTATTTAGTGCCATACATTTATTTAGTGCCATACATTTATTTAGTTATACATTTACCTAGTGCCATGCACTTCTTTAGTGCTATG